TCTGGGGAGTGGCTGTGGCTGGGGGGGCAGAGGGGAGGTGGTGGCGGAGGAGATGGGGCTGTGCAGGTGAAGGTGACAAGCGCTGCACGTGTGGCCAAGCGTGTAACCGTCCCGTGGGACGGGGAGCTGGCGTGTGGCAGCCTGTGCACAAGCAGCAGGCAAGCGAGAGCAGTCGCCTCCCATGTGACAGATATGTCACCAGGAAGCGGTGGGTCTGTGAGGGCAGAGGGAGCGTTGGGGAGGGTGGCGGGGTGGAGCTTGCCTGCCCTCGCTGCTGACGCAAGGCATCTGCCATGGTGCGTGACGCAGGCCAGGTGAGTGACCAGAAAAGGCAGGAGGGCAGTGATGAAGGATGACAGATGAAGTGAGGCTTGGGAGGTGCAGAGCCACAGCTTGGCTGTGTCTGTGTGTGCGCACAGGGATCAAAGATCAGAGGAGTTTATACTTGGACAGAGGACATAATCCAGGCAGCAGCTTATCTGCACAGGACATTTCCCATTTCCATTTAATTTGCGGCTAAAGAGATTGTTACCTTGTTAAATTGTTATTACCTAAGGCACAAAGCAGCCTTCTGGCTCTGCCAACTGGCCTGAGTCACGAACAGTTGGGTTGGAAAGCTGGCGTTCAGAAAACATCCTCAATGTGTGGAAAATTTCCTTGAAATGTTTGTTCTGGTGCCAGGTGATGGCAGGGCTGCAGGCACCCTGCACACAGCCACTCACTTCAAATGAGCAGCAGTGGCTTTGCATCCGAGAGCTCTGCAGGGAGCCCATCCCAGGCAGCAGTGAGCTGGGATGCAGCAGACAGGGATGTGGATGGAGGAGGACGTAGCCAGGGAGGGCTGTTACTGTACTGATCCCCTTCAGTGATGTCCTCGTGTGGCTGCTTGGGGTGCTGAGCTCCAGCGCTGTGCAGCCACGGGGGACACACTGGTTCAGGGTGGGATGAGTGGCATCTTCTGATCTTCCTGGAAATTAAGACTGAGATGTTTAAAAAGCTCAGAAAATAATTTACACATGGAAAACTGCCATCTACAGATGCCTGGCAGCTAGCAGAGCGGATTGTGTCACAAAGCTGGATGCTGAAATTTGTCTTTGGGGTGAATGCGAATGAAATCAACCTTGGCATGCCAGGAACTCTGTACATGAGCCTTGCACTGCTTGCACTAGTCGGTGCTGTCTGTTAGACGTGTTCTCAAAGAACCTCTGCTCACCTTGTCATGTGGCTGGTGTCTGTTCAGGCTGCGTGTCCCGTTCCTTTGTGGCCTGCCCTGAGCGTGGGTTTGTTAGCTTGCACTCTTCAGATGTGTGCAGCACACCAGTGTGTGTGTGTGCACGTGTGCACGTGTGCTTTTTCACTTCACTGTTCCTAGCAGTGCTACAGAACATAGATTTTTACTTTCTGATCTGTAATTGTAGGAAAGGGGCCTTGGGGACAGAACTATTCTTACTCTCATTTTTTCTTGTTCTTTGTGCTGCTTCCCTGTGGAGCTTGTGCATTGTTTGCAGACAGAACAAAAGAAGGCAGTGGAGGGAGGCTTTCTGCTGCTGTGCAGAAGGTGATGGGGACTTGGAGCAGCGAGAAGCAGATTCAAGTACTCTGCAGGAGCAAGAGGGTTAGAGCCCAAACTTTGCTATGCGAGTGTCTCTCTTATAGCAAGCTTAATGCCAGGCAAGGCAATGCCTTGTTCTCAAGCACGAGAGCCCAGCCAACAGGACTCCCCGGGGTCTGCTACAGCTTGGGAATTGCAGTGTGTTTTCCCTTGTCAGGGTTGATGTATTCGGATTCGTGTCCTCCCTCCAGCTGTCCCCGGGCAGGTAGCTCATCCTGCAGCCCCCATGCTCCCCTGTGCCATTTGGTCTCTATCCATCTCTCTCTTCACTCTCCCCTGTCCTGGCAGAGCCTGCTGTCTTGAGCAGTGGCAGCTTCCTACCTGTGTGATGCACCCCTGGTGCTTTCCTGGGGAGTGTGGGTGGGTGAACCTTCCACCATCTTAGCATATGCCAAGTGGAGATGCAGGTTTATATTGGTCACGCCAAAGTGGCACCAATGCAGGAAAGGTGCTGTTGGATCTCTCCTGTTTTCCTGTCCTTTGACTAGCCAGGTAATTTAATAAAATACTTTTCCATGTAGGAAGCTATTCACAGCTTCAAAGTGGTGCACAAACATTATGCAAGCATCCTGCAGCACCCTGCCAGGACGTGACGCTCACCCCTCAGCAGGAGACGGCAGTAAGTCACCTCGCATTTCAAGTGTGCTGCTCCAGAGTACAGCTACAAGGAGCCAGCACTTGTACTTCACCTTTGATACATTAGAGAACAACTGGTCCTGACAGTTTGACCAGCATTTGATCCTCAGCTCCTTGAAGTTGGTATGAACCCTTTCAAGTCGCAGCAGTTCAGTCGATCCCTTTAACTTCCTGATCCTCATCTGCTGGAGGTGGGAGCAAAGACTTGGCTGTGCTTCTGCAGTGGCTGCTGCCTCCTGGTCTCTGTGTGTTGGCTGTCAATAGGGGAGAGCCACAACCTTCTGTCATGATGAGATGCACTCTCCCCTTGAGGCAGGAAAGAACAAGGATTGCCAGAGACAGCAGAGCAAAAATCAGCTCTGTCAGCATTTCCAGGTCCTGCTGACACCAGGCTGACAATAATGAGGTTTGGGAAGTATTTTTAGCCAAATGGGAAAGGAGATGCCCTTGGCTGTTTTGTCCCATCCCCAGGCCAGCACACACAGGGCTGTGTGGCTCCTGCTGCACCGTCCAGCCTGAAGCAGCTGCTGGAGGCACATTTCAGCCTGGTGCTTCCCTGCTGTCCTGTGATCCACTGGTCCCACAAGGATGTGGCCACTTGGGGTGAGAACGAATCCCTTCCAGATGAGCTGGGCTGGGTCACACAGTGACCTGTTACAAAGACATGAGGGTTGAAGGGGTGCCTGACTCCCCTGTTCTTTGGAGGCATCCCTGAGGCACTGCCCTTCTCCCAGGTCCATATGGATGTAAAGCCCCTGGCAGTGCTTGCCCAGGTGGGAAGAAAGTTGGGGCTCAGCATGCCTGAAGAGCACCCCATCTCTCTGGGTGAACAGGCCCAGCCTGTGGCTGCTCAGAGGGACATGGTCCCTCCAGTGCTGATGCTGTGGAGCAGGGAGTCACACTGAAGGTCAGCACAGCAGAGGGGCTGCACATGTCCTCAGGGGAGCACAAAACCCCACCATGCTGTAGGCAGGAAATGCCTTTCTAAAGAACCGGTGCTTTTTATTTCATTCCATCCTTGTTTGTTGCCTAACAAAAGCTGGAACCACTCTTTTTGTTCAGAAAGAATCCAGTTGCCAGTTGGCTTTTTGGCTTTAGCTGTGCGGTTCCTGGGTGTAGTGCAGTTTTTCTCAGCTGAGCCATTGTATGAGGTAATACAGTGATAGACTGTCTGTGCATGTGAGGCTGTTTGTATAGGAGCCTTTTGTTTTTCTCTCTGCAGTGGGAACCCGTGCTCTGATTATGTGCATTCTAGGCTTTATCAGCACTGGGAAGATGTTGCTTGGGATTTAAGGTTCTCAGAGATATTCTTACTTGGCATTCGCCAAATCCAGAGACACGTGTTGGACATGGGCATTTTATAGACTCCAGCAGCACAGCAAGAACTACAACCTGCTTCAACACAAAAGGGAGAGGAGTTAAAAACAAACACAACAAAGAGCTTTTCACACAGTGTTTGAAAAGCTCCCTATTAACAAAACACATGGCATAAAATGTGCTCCTTGTTACATTCAGGGGGCGAAGTGAAACAAACTGCTTGAGAAATGCATTCATGAGAAAGATGAGCACCAAGAAAGCTGTCTAAATTAAACAGTCACTTGTAACATCCAAACCAACAGGCAGTGCCAGCAGGAGGAGAGGAAAATGGATTACAAGGTCCGCATGCCAATCAGAGCTGAGGACTGCAGATCCAGATATGGAGCACTGGCCAGCTTTAGGAGGAATGAGCATATGTCCAGCCTCTGAGTACTCAGAGGACCCAGGGATTAATTGCTGCTGCTTCCCAGGTGAGAAGGACCATCTGATTTCAGGGGGATGGATGAATATGAAGCTGGACCACTAGAGATGAAGAGGCTCGTGATGGTCAGCACAGACTTTGGTTGGGAAAGGTCATATTGCACAAAGTGATGTAAACTGAATGCAGCAGGTGGCTTCTTGTTTGAGCTGCTGTAGCACAGGGCTAGCACTGAGCTCTTGGGAGGGGAGATCTGTTGTTGTGTAGAGCAGTGTGGAGCGGGTTGATCTGCAGCTCTGAGCAGCTTGTGGCAGGCAGATGGACAGCCCTGTGCCTCCTCTGTGCCCAGCTCCAGTGGCAGCCTGGTGCTTGAGAGCCTCCCTGGCACATTGCCCAGACCCACCTGGCCGGGCCACCTCCAAAATCGCGCTGCCTAGGGTCAGGCTCAGCCCTGCTTCTGTGGTGACACTCAGAGCTCTCTCCTCTCCCTGGCAGGGTGTTCAGAAGGTAGCAGCTCTGCAGCAGTGGTGACAAAGGGATCGGATTTCTGGTTGGTTTGTGCTCTGCCATAGGGTATGGGCAGTCAGTCCTCAGCAGACGGTTTGGAAGTGACAGAAGACAACCTTAGCAGCAAAACAATTAGAAGCGTGTGAAAAGGTTACCAGTGGCATGACTCTGAGCACTCCCCTACCAGCCTCCTGCCCTCTGGCCATGCAGGCAACTGGTGTCAGATGTTTCCAGGCTCAGTGATGTCTCTCATCAGTGACTGGGTTTTCCTGTGTAGCTGTTTTTTGCAGACATCTCTGTTTATGCAGTAATGAGTGTGAACAGAACAGGCATGTGCTTACCTGAGAAGCAGGGAAGGCATGTGAAGAGTGAAGTACCAGCTTGTAGTCTAACAGGGTGAAAAAGGGGAACGGAGGATAGGCTTTATTCAAGGTCAGGTGATGTGGGAGAACAATGGAAGCAGTTTTGCAAATGCATCAGTTATGCTATTAGAGGTATTAGGCATCATCATCCCAGTTTCTGTTCCTCTTTCTGGTAGTGCATTGGGCTGATATGGACAAGTCAGGGTCCAGGCCTCTCTTCCCTTTTGCAGTGAACGAACACAAGAGTAGATGAGAGGCTGCAGTACGTGCCAAGACAGTGTCACTGTCCCTTCTGGAGCTGGCTACATGCCTGGAGAGGCTCTGTTCCTGACTGGCAGCTGGGGCAGAAAATGCAGGATGGCTGGAGGTGCCAGGTAGCTGGTTCAGAGATGCCCAGGGTTGTACCTGGCTTTGTGCAGCAGATCCCCATTGCTGCTAGACGTGAGGAGAGGAAGCCAGCCACAGAGGTGCAGAACATGCCAGATTGTGCTTGTGTGCAGGTGCAATGTAGTGCTTTTTGAACATTTTTCCTTAACTACAAGCAAGTGCTGCTCCATTTTCTTTCTCATTTCCCCATCTGTCTTGAAAAGGAGAGAACTAGGGAATATTAACACTTTAAACAGTGTAGGAATACCTTTGTATGTGCCTCCATCAGAGCTAGAGATGCCCAGCTGTATGGATAGGTGCCCATCAGAAGGCACTCTCATCTGCAGCATTATTCCCCTCCAGGGCACGGGTCACAAAGGCAAGGAGGACATTGATGCCTTTGTATAGAGTGGTCATCCCTTCGTGCAGAGGTGAGCTGGTGTTCCTTGGCTGTGAGTCATGTGGATGGTGGGTCCCCAGACCACAGCTGAACTGTCTCAGGCAAGACACAGCCTTGGGGAAGCCTCTCTGCAGTGTGTGGAGCACCTCCACCATCCTGAACATGTTTCTAGCCAAGAGCCTGTTCTGCTCTGCTCTTGTCTGATGTGGCCTCTCAGTATTGTCCTGTCTCATCAGCTTTTCAGCTTGCTTTGTCTGTACATTTATCTTCCTTCCATTGTTGCACATGTGACTGGAGGCTTTAATATATTCAGAGCCCTCCTTTTGGTAACTTATCCTTTGTACTCTTTGCTATCTTGTGTTATTTAATTCTGTGAAGCACTCTGGAATGCAGCATGTGTGAAGGATGCTGTGCACAATAACATTATGCTGTATTGTTTGAGATTTGTTAGGCCTTCTGAATTTCTCATTGTGACTGCAGTGGTGGTGTCTGTTATTGGTCTCATGGCTGTGCTTGGGGGCCTCAGCTGGATCAGGCTTCCCTTCCAGCCCCTTCCCCAGGGAGCACCCGTCTGATTGTGCCCCATGGAAAGTTAACTTGCTTTGTGCCATGTGTAATGGCTGGAAATGCAGGACGTGCCACTGGGGCAGGCTGCAGGAGCTCCTGGTGTCATAGCAGAGGTGCAGGGCTAACCCCCAGTGTCTGAATCTTTTCCTGAGCTGTGGGGATACCCTGCAGGAAGAGGTGGGAGTTGTGCTCTCCAGAGGTGGCACAGGGAGCATGCAGGCTGTTGGTGGGTGCTCAGGGAGGGGGCTGTTGGGGCAGCTCTGGAGCAGCTGAAGGAGAATGACAGCTGTGTGTGAAAGGTCTCTGCTGGGCACCTGGAGCCAGCCAGAGCTGCAGGAGCTCTTCTGCCTCTTCCTGTGAAACTGAGAAGCCCAAACTAGGGCAAATCTCAGGGATATTTTGTTGATTGTGGGGATGCTGCTTGTTGCCCACCTCTTTGCTGAGCAGGTTCTCGCTCCAGTTGCACAGGCTCAGTCTGGATTCTCAGCAGACCTTGCTGTGTGTAACTGTTGTAGCTGCAGTTCAGGTGACCTGCAGGTCTGGCTCACGGCCAGCGGGTGGGTGCTAGAGTAGGCTCGGGAGAGAGGGTGGTGGGTGAGGTGAGCTCCTTGAGCAGGGGTGCCCTCCTTTGGTTTGGGCTGGTGTTTTTCCTCAGCCTATAGTGCAGAGGCTTTCTGGAGTTATGAGTGGAGTTAGGGCCCAGGGGAGGTGGCCGTCTGTTGTGTTAGAATCCCTGCGGTCCTGGGGTGACGGGGAGGTTTGGCTCAGCACACCCAGCTGTTCAGTTTGCCCTTTTGCTTGGCCTCAGGTACTCCATCGACCGCAGCACAGACGTGGAGAGGATCTTTGACATCGATGCCAACACAGGTGCCATTGTGACAGGAAAGGTCCTGGACCGGGAGACAGCAGGGTGGCACAACATCACTGTCCTGGCCATGGAGGCAGGTGAGCCGGGCGGGCGCTGGGTGGGGCAGCCTGTGCTGGACCAGAGAGGGGCAGAGGGGGTAATATGGGTGCATTCACTGCAGAGCTGACCAAGATGCAAGTGTTAATAAACACTGAAGTAAAAAAAAATAAATAAATGCAGCAGCACTGAGACTAACATCTCCCTAGACAACCTAAAAATACTCTTCCTGACTCGAGCCTTAACAAGGCAGCATGGCCAAATAGTATATTTGATGAACACTAATCAAATTTGTGTTACGTGCCAGCTCTGCCAGTCATCCCTGTGCAGCTCACTCCCTGTGTTCACACTTGCTGAGTGGCTCTAGTGGCTCGGGGGTGTTGTGTTCCCATTGCCTGCATCCCCCAGGTTCAGCTGTGGGTGGGTGCCCCATCAACAGGAACCCTTTGGCACAGATCACTGCCAGCACCCATTTCTGCTGGGGGCTTGCGGTGGTTGGGTTGTACCTGCACAGTGGGTGTGTGGCTCTGGATGCCTCTCATGCCCTTCCTCCTTGGTCTCCCTGCCCTTGGTGTGCCTGCAGACTTGGCAAGGCAGTGTGAAGGGTCTGCAGGGGCAGAGTGTCCCTGAGCCCCCGTGATGGGGACGGGGGCAGCAGTGGTGCTGCCAGCACTGGTACAGCTAGGCTGCCCTGGCTCAGGTTGCAGGGCCTGGCCTCACCCTGCAGCCCAGCAGGAAAAGTCTCAGGCAGAGGATGAAGTGAAGCTCTTTTGTCCTCTTCTGAAATTATCTCCTTTCTGACCCTACCAGGAGAGCCCTGGTGATAGGCTCCCTTCCTTCCCCTTTGGGTGTGCTGTCCTTTAGCCTGTGCTTACAGTAACTGCTAAATCTCACACCCAGCTGGCAGAGCCAGGAGGGAACAGTTTAGTGGCTCTGCAGGTTTTGTTAGTCTATCTTCCCTCCACATGACGGAGCAGCAGAGCCTGGTGTGAATGCTTCCAGCAGAAGTTCAGTTTGTCTTTTCTTCTCAGTTAAGAAAGAAAAGATTAAACCTGGGTCCTGCTGCTCAAAGGAGCTCTGAATAAACTCCTCTTGAGGAATGAAAAGAAAATAGTAGCAGCAAAAGGAAGGCTTTGCTTCCCCAGAGGTGTTCTGCATTGGGTAGGAAGCTGTCCTGCTGCCCTTTGTGTTTGCATAGTGCCTTGGCTCGTGGGCTCTGCAGGTCCCCATGCATGATGCATCTGGCCCCATGGGCCCCAGGGAGCTCTATGTTCCTCCTTTTTCTGAGCCTGAAGAGAGGAAAAGGGGCTTCAATCCCAGGCATCATGCTGGGAAGCAGAAAGGCATTGTCATATTCTTCAAAGTTTTCCACATTTTGGATGCACGGGTCACCAGGGCAGCCTGGGGACCTGCTCACAGCAGCTGATACGAGGGAGCTGCTTGGTTTCAAAGCACCTTTTGACGTCTGTAGATGTCCGCCAAGACCTCTCTGTCTATGGGCTTTGCCCAGCCTTTGCTCCAAGACACCTCTCAGGAGTCCTGGTTCTCATTTCTCTGCTTGTTCTTGAGCAGGAAGATGTTCACATTCGAGGATTCATGTTGGGGCTGGACTTGGGCCCCAGAGATCAGTTCCTGCTGTGGGGTCACCCTGCTGTAGCGGCAGCCATCCGTTCTGGCAGGGCTGGGATGCCAGGGACCAGGACCCACTTCCTCAGGAGAGGAGGGGGCAGTGGCCCTGGCCAGACCCCGCTGCCCTGGGGGGGACACGGCTGACGCTGCTGTCTGTCCCAGGCCCCCTCTGCACTGATGCTTTCGTGCCTGCTGGCTGGAGTGACCTCTGTGCCATCTGACTGCAGTGCTGTTGTGAGTCCTGCCCGGCATCGGGCAGCAATGAGCAGCGTGCTGGTGCTGCCCAGCCACCCCAGGGGGAAGGGAGCCTGCTGCAGAGCCGTGGCACTCCCAGGGGCTCCGTGGGGAGGCTTTGCCAGCGGTGGACGGGAAGGGGGGGAAGGGGGGGATCGTGGCATTGCAGCACAACTCAGCATCCAGAGGAAACCTGAGGTGACAAGAATCAGAAGGGCAATATTTACAGGCAGCAGTTAGGATTTCAGAGCAAGTGGGTAAATGCTGCGGCTCCCCGCGGGCAGGGAGGCCTGTCAGGCTGCATTGCTTCAGAAGCTGAGGAGACTCTGCAGCGCTCTGACTTCTGTTGGTGAGCTCTGACTCATCCATTTTAACTGCCCAGACGTTCCTCCCAGTGACATTATCCTTAACGTTTTGTAATCATGAAATATTAATGACTGATATTGAATTTAAAGTACAATTTATGTCTGAATCCTCTGGTGGAAAGGGCAGTTGTAAAGGTACAGCCTTCCCAGTGGCAGAGGGGGTTTGCAGCGGGATCAGCCGCGGCAGCGCCGGCACATCTGGGGCAGTGGTTCCTGGCATGTGGGTGTCTGGTGCTGGGGGCAGCTGGCAGTGCCCCACGGCCTTCGCCATGGGCGTGCGGGTTGCAGCTGGGTGCTGCAGGGTCTGCTGCGTGGCCAGGCAGGATGTTATCTGCTCCAGCCCAGGCGGGTGGTAAAACGTTCCTCCTCTTCCCTCAGCGAGTTATAAACTTCACAGAACAAATGGAGTGTAAGCCCACCAGGCATCCTACTGCCCAGGCTCATGCCTGGTGTCCCAGCTCCTCGGGCTGGTGGCAGGCTGGGACCCCTCACTCCCCAGCACCTGGGCAGGGGGCGTGGGCCGCGTTGCACCAAGGTCCCGCTCCCCGCAGCCTCCTCCAGCTGCCCTCTCTGCCCGCCGGCAGGACTGTCCTGGAAGGGTTTAAGACACGGCGGCTGGTGGAGAGCTTGCCTGCTGACAGCACTCATTCCCACAGGCAGCCTGTTTGTTAGGCTTGAGTAGCTTCATACGAGAGCTGTCCCCCCACCTTTGAAAGCCCTGTTGGAGCCAGTGCTGCTGCAGCAGAGACTGTGTCCAGGGGTGGTGATCCACTGCGGGTAACCAAAGAGTGTGTTTGCACCTGAGGGGCAGTAAGGAAAGCCGCAGCAGGTGCCTGGCTGCCCTGGAAGCTGGTTGGGCTGCTGCTGGGGGAGCAAGGGGCAGATCTCCTCACAGCACAGGGACTTCCCAGCAGGAGTGGCCTTGGCCAGCTGGTGACCAGCAGAAAGTTTGGCCTTGCAGTGTTGCAGCCAGCGGGAAGCGTGGGGCCGTTCAGCAAATCTGGCCTGGGACCGGGCCAAGTGTTTCCAGAGATAAATCTTCATCTCACTCACAAGCTGTTTACCTTCCTTGGGCTAATATTAGTGATTCTCTTCCTGTTTTCCTCTTTGCTCATGTAAAATGATGAGACCTTGACTGCTGTGTCCACTGCTGGTAATTGAGATGATAAATCTTCCTGCTGGAGACTGGCTTTAATCAGAGCTTTGTGTTTGGATGCGATTTAATGACTCTCATGCTGCCGAGTTTGGGCAGGACTCAGGAGAGGTGAGAGCCATTTATATGTTACTTGCCTTAACTGCTGCTTCCGCTTTGCTACCCCTCAGCTGGGAGCTACATTTTCAGCTCCAGCCTCTGGTGTAGTTGCCTGTGTCCAAGAAGCCATGCCCCTGCTTCATCCTTGCCCTCTGTGCTCCACTTTGCAGTCAGGCAGGTGCCCTGATGCCTTCAAAACCGCCCCGTGCTTCCCAGCCGTGGCACGGGTGCTGGAACGCAGAGTGGCCCATCCAGGTCTTCTGTTCTGCACTTTGCTCTCCCACTTTGCTGAGACAGTGAGCAACAAATTCCACCCCTGCCTCTTCTGGCTCCCCTATTAAGGTAAAAATTTTGAATTCAGTATTATACTGATCTGGCTGTGATGCAGAAGCGAGTGGGTTGCACACTCTGCCCAGCAGCCTCCGTGAACTGTGACTCCCCACGTGCTGCAGCCACAGAGAGCAGCACATTGTCCTCTGGCCTATCTGAAACTGTGCTGCAGAGCCCAGGAACACTGCAGAGCACCTTTCTGCATGTGTTATCACCACACGGCTGTATGTGCAGGCAGGAGTGTAAATGGAGGGTTGTGTTTCAGCAGGGGTTGGCTCACGAGAGATTTGGGTGTAAACGTGTAAAGTGCTTTACTGTACACTTGTGTGAGGGTCTGGCCAGGTAAGGACTGGATCACAGCTCAGCAGTAGCCATGGATTCCCTCCTGTCCTGCCGGGGCATGGGTGGTCAAACATCTCAGCAATCCCTCCCCATCACTGTGAGCTTCTGCTGCAAAGCTTCCAACATTTGAGAGCAGTTGGCCAGAGCTGCTCCTTGTCAATCCTGCAGGCAATTGGCTGTCTGGAACCCAAGGAGAGGGCAAGTTGTTGGTATTTTGTATCTGAATATTTAAGACAAGAACGTTTTCCTGTTCAGATTACTTGTATGGTTAATTAAGAAAAAATACTTTGGGATGTGGCTGAAGATCCAGCTGGAGCATTTGAGGCTTTGCTGTGCAGCAGGACTCTGTTTTTTCTCCTGCTCCAAAGCCAGGGCACTGCCTGTCCCTGCCGAGTGGCACATCACCATGGGGGGCTGGCCTGCACTTGCTGCTCGTCCTGAGCTGCCCTGGTTGTGGCACGGAGGAAAGTGCAGGTGCAG